GCTCCCAGCTCATGGCATTCAAGGGGAGGTGCAAGGGAAGATGGAGGAGGGGAGGGAAACTCATTCAGGTCCTTGAGTTCAACAAGTGTTGGGTCCTGCATTTGGGTCACAACAACCCCATGGAATGCTCCAGGCTGGGGTAAGAGGGGCTGGAAAGCTGGGAAAGGCCCTGGGGGTGCTGGTGCCAGCAGCTGGATACGAGCCCAGGTGTGCCCAGGATGGCACCTGGGCTGTCCCCAGGACAGGGATTGTCCCCCAGTGCTGGCTCCAGCTCTGGGCCCTCAGGGCCACAGAGACATTGAGGGGCTGGAGCGTGGCCAGAGCTGGGGAAGGGCTGGAGCAGCAGCAGAAGGGTCTGGAGAAGTCCTGAGGGAGCTGGGAAAGGGGCTCAGCCTGGAGAAAAGGAATTTTAGGAGGGATTTTTTCACCCCACAAATCCCTGAGGGGAGAGCAGAGCCGGGTGGGGTCGGGCTCTGCTCCCAGGATGAGAAGGAACAGCCCCAAATTCCTCCAGGAGAGGTTCAGGAAGGACACCAGGAGGGATTTTTCCATGGAAAGAGTGGTCAAGCACTGTCAGGTTGTCAAGCACCATCAGGTCTGCCCCTTGCTCCACAGAGTCGTGGAATTCTGATGGAATCACTCATGTTGGAAAAGCCCTGCAAGACCCTCGAGTCCAAGCTGTGATCGATCCAAATCAGAGCCCTGAGTGCCACATTCGGCCCTTCCTTGGACACCTCCAGGGATGGGGACTCCAAACCTCCCTGGGCAGCCCCTGCCAATACCTGGCCACCATTTCCATGGGAAAAATTCCTCCTGATGTCCAACACAAACCTCCCCTGGTGCAACTCGAGGCTGTTTCTCCTTGTCCCTGTTCCCTGGGAGCAGAGCCAGGCCCCACCTGGCTGCACTCTCCTGAGGCAGAAGGTCCCCCCTGAGCCTCCTTTTCTCCAGGCTGAGCCCCTACAGCTCCCTCAGAAGTTTTCCAGACCCTCCTCCTGCTGCTCCAGCCCTTCCCAGGCTCCACTGCCATTCTCCAGATACACTCCAGGCACCTGGAGCTCTCTGACCTCCCTAAATCCTAAATCCAAACACCAACAGGCATTTCCAAAATCCATCCTTAAAAACAAGATTCAGACCAAGGTAGGAGTTGAATCCACCTGTCCCATACATTTGTTTCCTGCCAACATCCCCCTCCCTGCCAGGACTGCCACAAACACAAGAGACACCAACACCTCTCGCTGTTGATTCCCTTGGGCAATGAATCCGTTGTGAATTCTGCCCCCCTGCAGCCATGGTGAGAGCCTCAGCATCATCTCAACAGGCATTAAAGCAGTTTAATGTGGATTTCAGCCTCTGCTGGAGCCCTTGGATCCAGCCACAAATGGATATTTGGGAAGAATTTAAGGCAAGAAAAGTATCTTGGCAGAGGAATGCAGGGGAAGTAGCCCTGAATTTTGGCAAGATCAGTTTATTAAGTTTCTTTTTAGCCAAAAAAAAAGCCCTTTGAGAAATGTTCAAGGTGCCAAACTGTGCTCCCTGCCTCTGGCTGCACCTCCTGCTCCAAATTTCTTGGGAATAACTCCCTGAGTGACCCAAACCTGCTGCACTGGAGTGACTGAGGTGGGAGAAGAGCTTCCAAAACTGCTCTGAAAGTTTGGCTCCAGATCCCTCTGCAGTGCCCCTTGGGCAGCCACCTCCTCCTTGAAAACAATTAAAAACCAATCAATTTATTCAAATGAGCGCTGATCTGGCTCTAATTTAATTTTAAACAAGATAACAAGGTGAAGTGAACTGCAGAGAGAGCGGGGCTTGGAGCCGTGGTTTAGGCACCTCAAAGGGGTGATTTAGGCACCTTCCCCCCCAAAAACAGGGGTTTGGAATAGCAGCATTGCCACGACCTTAAATTTAGCAACACAAATGGCAGCACGGCTAAAAGGGGAACTCGAATCCAACGGGGGATCCGGTGTCACAGGCAGCACCAGGGAACAGCTGGAAGGAGAGGCTGGCCCTGGATATTCTCCACTGCTCCCAGGCAGCACAGAGCCCCAGGGGCTGCTTCTCCCTCGGGAATTCATCCAACAGCAAAGCAGTTTCCTTCCCATTCAGATCAGTTCAGCAGGCCCCCCCTAATCAGGGAATTCTGGAATGGTTTGGGTTGGGAGGGATTTTAAAGCTCACCCAGTTTCACCTCACCTTCCACCATCCCAGCTCCAGGGTCTGTCCAACCTGGCCTTGGACTCTTCCAGGGATGTGGAATTCCTTCCAACCCCTCTTCCAGCCAGGGCAGACAACCAGGAACAAACAATTCCTGTGAGACTGAGCACTCCCCACTCTAAGAATCAGCAGAATCCCAAATCCTTAGTCCACAGTTTCCCAGGGATTGCAGCTGTGTGGAATTCCCACTCTGGACCTGGTTTCCTGCACGTTGGCAAAAAATCCACCTTGTTCTTCCCAACACCTTTTCGTCAACACTGCAGAATCACAAAAGTATTCCAGGAACAGAGCTCATGGAAAAGCTCGTGTGTCCCCGAGCTGAGCCACGCCAGTGTTAAGAGGATCCCCACAGCAACAGGTCCGTGGGATTAGGCAGAGGGAAATCAGCTCCCAGGATTAGAAACCACCACAGGGAGATTTGGATGAGGGAAGGGAGGTGGATCCTACCTCAGGTTTGAGCCAGGACACCAAACTAGAAGCCAGGAATTTTAAATTCCCCAAGAGCCAAAGTGTTCAGGAATGAGCAACAAGGATTCTGGTGATGTTCCTTCCCACAGCTCCATCAGAAGCTCAAACTTCTACCAGCACATTTCAAACAGACCTGAGCACACTTTAATTAACATCAACTCACCTACAACTCCTCCTGCCAGGGGACAAAAGCAACTTTGACCCTCAGCCCAAATTCCTACTGGTACCAAAAATAAAATCCCTGGGAGGATTTAAAGTTCCAGGGCTGGAAACACACACACACACAAAAAAAAACTAACAAAACCACTTTTCCATGTATCCCACCAGCACAGACCCTCTGGACTCCTCCACACCAGCACCTTCCCACCTGTTGGAAGATCCTAGGACTGGGAATCACTTCTAGGAAAAGCATTTCAAAGCCAAGACGTTGTCCATGAGAACACCAGCACACCGCACGGCACTTCCCAGCCCCAGGAGGGCCCCGAGCCCCTCTCCCACCTGTGGCTCTCGGTCTCCTCAGATCCCCGCGAGCCGTGCCCGGGCACTGCCGGCTCTCAGCGGGATCACTCGAGTCCCCGGTGCCGGCAGCTCCAGCTGCACGTGCTCCGCCAACGTGCCCGGGGAAGCGGCTCCATGAGACTGCTCCGAGCAGCGGCACCGCAAGGCCCGGAGACCCCGCTGGGAACCGCACGGAGAGACCCCCGGGAGGGGCCGGAGGCCGGACCCCGAGAGGGGCAGGACAGGAGCCGGACCCCGGGAGGGGCAGGATAGGAGCCGGACCCCGGGAGAGGCAGGACAGGAGCCGGACCCCGGGAGAGGCAGGACAGGAGCCGGACCCCGAGAGAGGCAGGGCCGGAGCCCCGCGCGGAGCGCTCCCCCAGAGGGAAGACCAAGAACCGACCCCGGGGCCGGGAGCCACCTCCGGGAGCGCCCCAGCGGGAGCAGCCCCGGGCCTCGCCGCCCCCGCGGGGGAAGGACCGGAGACACCGGGGGAGGATCCTCGCAGTGGCCACCGGGCCTGGTGAACCGCGATCGCCCCGTGGCCCCCAGCCCTGCTCCCCACCCCCCCCCCCCCCCCCCCCCCCC